TCAAATCATCCTGGAGTGCTCTAGTGTCCTCATTAGAATGAATTGGACGGCCTATTTTGGTGTCATCAGCAAATTTGCTTATGTCGCTATTTATTCCCTCATCTATGTCGTTTGTGTAAATTGTGAGCAACAACAGGCCTAACACTGACCCCTGAGGAACACCGCTTGTGACGTGCCCCCATTCTGATTTCTCCCCATTTACGCAAACTCTCTGCTGCCTATTTGTCAGCCATGCCTCTACCCAGGAAAAAATTTCTCTTCCTATCCATGTGCCTTAAGTTTCCTCAATAGCCTCTAATGTGGAACTCTATCGAAAGCCTTACTGAAGTCCATATATAAATTATCATATTCATTACCATGATCTACCTCCTCAAACACCTTAGTGAAGAAAGTTAATAAATTCGTAAGACAGGAACGCCACTTTGTAAAACCGTGTTGAGATTCATTAATCAATTTATGCCTATCAAGATGGCTACAAATTGCTTCGGCAATTATTGATTCCATAAATTTTCCCACTATGGAGGTAAAGCTTATTGGTCTATAGTTCAAAGCTAAGGACCTGTCACCTGCCTTGTAAATAGGTATAACATTTGCCACTTTCCACTTATGAGGCACCATACCAGTTAGCAGTGATATGTTGAAAAAATCTGCCAAAGGTATGCTAAGTTCCTATTTACATTCCTTTAACACCCTAGCAGACAGTTCATCAGGGCCTGGGGATTTGTTAGGTTTTAATTTCTCAATTTGTCTGAGGACCATGTTACTAGTTACCACAATCATGCATAGTTTAATATTATCCTGTTCTACATAATCTATTATTTCAGGAATTTTGCTAGTATTTTCCTGGGTAAAAACTGAGAGGAAGTAGGTATTGAAAATTTCACACATATCCTTATGACTGTCAGTGATCTGACCAGTTACTCTTAAGTGGACCTATCTTGTTCCTAATCTTACTTCTGTATACCTGAAAGAACCCTTTTGGGTTAGTCTTCCAACCCTTTGCAACCTTAGCCTCATAATCCCTTTTTGCTTTTCTTATTCCTTTTTTTATTTCTCTCTTTAATTGAATATATTGATTTCTTAACTGCCCATCCGCTCTTTTGATTCCTGTCATATGAGTAAGGCACAACTGGTTATAGCAATGGAAGGATAACCAACATCCTGGAGGAGTAGAGTGGAGAACATATATATACTACTAAAGGCTGCATGAAAGAACAAAAGAAGTGAACAAGCCAGACTAAGATGTATATATGTAGGTCTCCCAGATGAATTTTTCTTCATGACTATCCCCCTCCCTCCCCAACTATGGGAATTTTGAGGTATATGAAACAGAAATAAACCTGAGCTTTTTTAAATAAATATACTGTACTGTTGTATCTGTACGCCTCTGCAAAGACAATGATTAAGTATAAATGATGGTGAAAGTGTTGAATGACGACAAAAGTTTTTTTTTCTTTTTCTTTCTTTTGGGATCACCCTGCCTCAGTGGGAAATGGCCAACATTTAAAAAAAAAAAAAACATTTTTAATAAAACATAACTGTAATATTGGTTGTCCTTCACGATATTCTTAACCCTTTGACTGTTTCGGCCATATATATACGTCTTAAGAGCCAGTGTTTCGGACGTGTATATACTCAAAAATTCTAGCGGCTTCAAATCAAGCGGGAGAAAGCTGGTAGACCCACATGTGAGAAAATGGGTCTGTGTAGTCAGTGTGAGCTGTATAAAAAAATCCTGCAGCACGCAGTGCATAATGAGAGAAAAAAACTCTAACCATGTTTTTGGATTAAAATGCCGACTTTGAGGTGTACGTATTTTTGTATAGTATTTATGGATGCATTCTCATTTTCTTGGTCTCATTTAATAGAATGGAAAACATATTACAGTGGACCCTGGACCAACGATGGCATCGTATAACGTTAAATCCGACTAGCGATACATTTTAACGCAAAAATTTTGCCTCGACTAGCGCTAAAAAACTCGACCAACGCGATTCGTTCCGTTCGAGACGCGTCCACGTGTGGCCTGAGCGCGCCTCACTTGTCCCGTGGGTGCCAGTGTTTACAAGTCAGCCACTGCGGTCGCATCCAAACATACAATCGGAACATTTCATATCACAGCGTTTTTAGTGATTGCACCTGCAAAATAAGTCACCATGGGTCCCAAGAAAGCTTCTAGTGCCAACCCTGTGATAAAAAGGGTGAGAATTAGTATGGAAATTAAGAAAGATTTTGAAGGGTTTGGGGCTAACCCTGAGATGCCTATGCCAGTTGGGGAAAATCCATTTTGCTTACTTCAAAGATTAAGGGAAATGTGTGCAAAGTGGGCTGAACTGCAAACCTTTATGGATGAAAATCACCCTAACACAGCTATTGCAAGCCGTGCTGGTGACTATTACAATGACAATATTAGGGCCCCCATTTTAGACAAATCTTAAAGGAACGGAGGTACAGAGCTCTATGGCCAGATATGTTTTTGCGACAGGGGTCCAGTGACTCTCAAGCTGGTCCTAGGGGCCCTTAAAAGAAGAAGGGAAGAAACCCCCGGAAAAAGGGACTTGACACCTCAAGCCCTAAGGGAAGGGGATTCCCTTCTAAACACTAACACCATCCACACTCTCCCCTCCTCCCATCCCATCAATTATCACCAGATCTTCAATAAAGGTAAGTGTCATACAATTGTACATGTATTCTTCAGTTTGTGTGTATTAAAAATTAATATTCATATGGTAAAATTTTTTTTTTTCAATACTTTGGGGTGTCAGGAACGGATTAATATGATTTCCATTATTTCTTATGGGGAAATTAACTCAAAAAAATTTATAATTTTGACTAACGATGAGCTCTCAGGAACGGATTAATATCTTTTGGTCGAGGGTCCACTGTATAGAAATAGAGAAGATTTTGATTAGTTTCATAATGAAAATGACCTTGAAATTGACTAAAAGTAGCAGAAATGTTCGATTTCTGCCAATGTTCAAGAGTAAACAAATCATGCCACACGTCCAATACACGTCAACTGGTGATCTAATATTCTTTTACAAGTGAACTGATATTATTTATACCATTTTTACAATAATGCAGTAGTCAGCATAACAGTAAATCTTCTATTTTTTGTATGAAAAAAAATATCAAAATAGAAAACAAGAGTAAATATAAGAGGGACCTGGAAACATGACTAATGAACAGGGGAAAATGTTATTTTAGTGCCAGGAATGTCTGCATTGTTTATTCTGGGCCCTATTTTGAAATTTGCATCTTTTTGAATTTACACAAAATTGGCTAAATTGTAAATTTTCTGACCACTTTATTGGGTAGTTGAAATTGGAAAAATGGGCGGTTTCTTGTACTCAATCAGTAGAACAAATGGAGTTCTAAAGAAATTGCTATGAGTTTCGTCGACTGGGACAATGGAATTGACAGAAAATAGGGCTCAAAGTCGCTGATGCGTAACTATCACCGAGATCGCTAATTTTGCGAGAGCGTAATTCCGTAAGTTTTCCATAAAATTTTGTACTTTTGGCGTCATTAGCATCATAAAAGATTCTCTATCATTTCATAAGATAAAGGATTTTTTTTTTTTTTCAAAAATTTTTCGACAAAGAATGACTGTTTCAGAGATATGCTTGTGACAGTCAAAGGGTTAAATGATGGAGTAAGCTTTAACTTTAAAATGATAAAATATTAACCCTTTGACTGTTGCGGCCGATAAAATACGTCTTAAAAGGTACCGTGTTTGACGTACTATACTACTCATAAATTCTAGCGGCTTCAAATCAAGCAGGAGAAAGCTGGTAGGCCCACATCTGAGAGAATGTGTCTGTGTGGTCAGTTTTGCACCACATAAAAAAAAAAACCTGGAGCACACAGTGCATAATGAGAAAAAAAAAAACAGACCGTTTTTTTTAATTTAAAAAGCCGACTTTGGATCTATTTTCATATAGTATTATGGCTGTATTCTCGTTTTCTTGATCCATTTGATAGATGGAAAACATATTATAGAAATGGAGGTGATTTTTATTGATTTTACTATAAAAAAAAACCTAGAAATGGTGCTCAAAGTAGGGGAAATGTTTTTATTTTTGCCAATGTTCAAAAATAAACAAATGATGCCATTGTCCAAAAAATGTCCAACTAGCCCTTCTAATATGCAGCCATGAATGGTTTGATGTTATTTATACAATTTTTTTGCAGTATTGCAGTAGTCTGCATAATAGTAGTCTTCCCATTTTTTGTTTGAATAAAAATTCAAAATAGAAAGCAAGAGTAATATCAGAGGGGCCTGGAGACATGAATGATGAACAAAGAAAATGTTATTTTAGAGCCAGGAATGTCTTTCATTGTTCATTCTGGACCTTATTTTGAAATTGTCATATTTTTTTAGTTTTCGTGAATTGGCCAAAATTTCAAATTTTTTGACCACATTATAGGTAGTTGAAATCGTAAAAAGGCAGTTTCTTGTACTCATCGTAGAAAAAATTTTGGGGTTCTAAAGAAATAGCTATGAGTTTGGGCGACTGGAAACAATGAATTAGCAGAAAATAGGGCTCAAAGTGGGCGAAATCGCCCATTGTAAACAGCGTGAGGTCGCTAATTTTGCGAGAGCATAATCCGTCAGTTTTCCATCAAAAATTTTGTTTTTTTTTGGGGTCATTACAATCGGAAAAAAATTCTCTATCATTTCATAAGAAAAAAAAAATTTTTTTTTTAATTTTGCGAAAACCAGGAGACACCTCAGGATTGGGGGTTGTGACAGTCCCAAAGGGTTTTAAACTAAATTCCAATTTTTTTTAGGGTTAATAAACACTGAAAATTTTTAAATTTTTAAGCCAATAAAGTAAAAAAAAGGCACAAAAAAGATTACCACAACCTTAGAGTTATGTCAATTTCGTATTCAGTATATTGTTAAATTATGTGTATTATAAACATTATGAAGCTTTCAAAATAAAGTCATTCTGATAATTTAATGAAGGAAAAGAAGATTAACAAATGTACTCTACCATTAAGATCTGCTGGATTGATAAAATGCACTCGGCTTCTATAATTTCCACAGGAGGATCGGCCACCAGTGGGTCTGCGGTCTCCTTGTTGCCCTCGATACTGACCAGCTTGAAACTGGCCAGGATCACCATCTTCAGCACCAGGTGAGGTTATACCTTCACCTGAAACACGTAAACAAGAATTAGGTAATGGTACAATAAAAGGAAGACAGATTAAGCAACATCAAGAGTTAAGAGTACATACTAAGAAAAGATCATTCAAGATTAACATTAAAGAACAAAAAGGCACAATATTGTGACTGGAACAATACAGGGGAGGGGGAAGGCCCCGCTTTATGGCTATTTGCTAATACTGTACAGACATTTCAAATTATACCCAAAAATTCATTTATATGGCTCCCTGATTCTCTATTACGGTGTCCGTGTGCCACTCATGTTTGTTTACAACTTCCATGAGCTCCATGTCTCAATTATGCCTTGAAACTTTACAAAGTTTCAAGTGTTTTAAAGTTATTGCATATTTGAAGTTATTGCATATGTACTCTGATAATTGTACTTATCTGTACCTGCACCTAAATAAACTTACACATTGTGGTGGCATGCAGGTACATTAAAATCATTGAGTGTCTCACTAGTATTAAAGAGACAATAAGTGGTACCTGCATATACAGGTACCACTGTACATACAATCAGAGTAAAACAAATTATCATAATTGTGAGGCGTAGTAGCCAGGAGGGAGTAAAGGCGTGTATGACAATAATTACTATAACAAGTTTTCTCTGGTACAACACCATCAGAGACAATGTATACAGTATTACTGGGGGGTAACTGTAAAAAACATTCCTTTCACTCATAAACAGCATCACTCGCTCTCAAAAAGGTGTGATGCATGAGATCCTTTCACTCATAAATAGCATCACTCACTCTCAAAAAGGTGTGATGCATGAGAATGGGAGTGTTGCTGTTATGTATTCTACTGAACAAATGTGAAGACAACTTGTACACAATGTAAGGTGTTTGTATTATGGTGAAAAAGTTTCACCACAAAGACTGATTATGTGTGAATGATGGTGAAAGTGTTTCTTTCTTTCTTGGGTCACCCTGCCTCTGTGGGAGACAGCTGGTGTTGAAAAAAAAAGGAATAATAATAATAAAAACAATAATCACTCTGGGGCACTTTAAATGTTGTGTATTATGTTATTATAGACATTTTCATTAATCCATATAATACATTTTTTTCAAAATTACATAAGAAACATATTATATATCATATAAACAAAATACATGTATATACAATCATAGTAAAACAAATTAACATAATTGTGAGGTCAGAGGCGTTGCTAGCGTTGGTGTCACTCGGGGCGGCATCTTTGGTGTTACCCCTGGCCACAAAATAGAGCGAAACACCAACGTCAAAGACCTGGGAGTGATCATGTCAGAGGATCTCATCTTCAAGGACCATAACATTGTATCAATTGCAGCTGCTAGAAAAATGATAGGATGGATAATGAGAACCTTCAAAACTAGGGATGCCAAGCCTATGATGACACTCTTCAGGTCACTTGTTCTATCTAGGCTGGAATATTGCTGCACACTAACAGCACCTTTCAAGGCAGGTGAAATTGCTGACCTAGAAAATGTACAGAGAACCTTCATGGCGCACATAACGGAGATAAAACACCTCAATTACTGGGAGCGCTTGAGGTTCCTGAACCTGTATTCCCTGGAACGCAGGCAGGAGAGATACATGATTATATACACCTGGAAAATCCTAGAGGGACTAGTACCGAACTTGCACATGAAAATCACTCACTACGAAAGCAAGAGACTTGGCAGACGATGCAACATCCCCCCACTGAAAAACAGGGGTGTCACTAGCACGTTAAGAGACTATACAATAAGTGTCAGGGGCCCAAGACTGTTCAACTGCTTCCCAGCATACATACGGGGTATTACCAATAGACCCCTGGCAGTCTTCAAGCTGGCACTGGACAAGCACCTAAAGTTGGTACCTGACCAGCCGGGCTGTGGCTCGTACGTTGGTTTGCATGCAGCCAGCAGTAACAGCCTGGTTGATCAGGCTCTGATCCACCAGGAGGCCTGGTCACAGACCGGGCCGCAGGGGTGTTGACCCCCGGAACTCTCTCCAGGTAAACCCCCATGAAATCCAGGGGTGGGGGGATAGGGGAGAGTAAACTCCATTTAAGTCACTACTGAATGACCAATGACTAATGTTTAGCAATGAGAACGTTTAAAGGCCATACACTAAACAGGAGAATACTTCTCAACTTTATTAACCCTTTCAGGGTCCAAAGGCCAAATTTCAAAGTGCACACCAGTGTCCAAGAATTTTCAAAAAATAATTTTGTTATCTTTTCTTATGAAATCGTAGAGAATCTTTTTCTGAAAGCAATAAAACAAAAAGTACGAAATTTGATGGAAAATTGACGAAATTATGCTCTCGCGAATTTTGATGTGTCAGCAATATTTACGCATCGACAATTTTGCTGACTTTGAATCCCATTTTAGGCCAATTATATTACTCCAGTTGACCAAATTCTTAGCTATTTCGCTAGTATTACTTCTATTTTATCGACTGAGCTTAAGAAATCGCCAAGTCAACTGTTTCAACTACAAAATAAAGTGATCAGAAATTGGTAATTTGGCCAATTTAATGCAAAGTTCAAAATATTCTAATTTCAAAATATGGTCCAGAATAAACAATGCAGACATTCCTGGCACTAAACTAACATTTCCTCTGTTCATTAGTTATGTTTTCAGGCTTTACAAATGAATTCCATTTTGATTTTTTATCCACATAATGAAATTTTATTCAAATAAAAAAAATAGAAGATTTACTGTTATGCAATACTGTAATAATTGTATAAATATCATCAGCACATTTGTGAATGTATATCAGATCCACCAGCTGGTGTGTATTAGATGTGTGGGATCATTTGTTTACTCTTGAACATCGGCAAAAATTTAACATTTCTGATATTTTGAGCTCAGTTTCAACCCATTTCCATTACTAAAACCAATCAAAATCATCTCTATTTCTGTAATATATCTTCCATTACATTAAATGAGACCAAGAAATCGCAAATAAAACTATAAAAAACATACAAAAAAGCACTGCAAAGTCGCTGTTTTAAATCGAAAATTACGGTCTCAGTTTTTTCTCTCATTATGCGCTGTGTGCTGCAGGATTTCTTTTATGTGGTGCACACATACCACAAAGATGTATTCTCTCATATCTAGGGCCAAATTTACCACTCACAGCTTATCAGAGTGAGCTGAGCTCATGGCATAGAGCTAGGTTCGGACCCTCGACATATAGCCGAAGATCTACGGCACAGACCCTTAAAGGGTTAATGATAAAATAAATAATTGTAGTAATAATGAGGAAACATAAATTCAAATACCACTTTGAGTACAGGCAACAGATTCTACATTTATTCATCTTCAACAATGCCAAAAAAAAAAAAAAAAAAAAAAAAAAATTGAAAAATTTTAAAGAAAAAATTCAATACAGAGAAACACATGTTCTGATTTACCTTGATAAAGTAAAAATCAATACAATTTTAATTTTGCTTCAATACAAATTTCTATCACTTCATCAAAAAAATGTGTCACTGACCTTTTCAGGTTAACATTGCAGTCAGAGTTCTGTCGACTCATTGGGGACGTAAAATTTTTAACCCTTCATTGAGAAAACTCCTTCAAGAGCCACAGAAACATTAGTAAGACAATCCCCCACCCCCAATTTATCCCCAACTCCCCCTTTCCCCAATCCTATACAATTACTCAACCCCAACCTCCCCCCAATCCACCCCCAATCCTTTCCACCTCCCCCACCCCCACCTCCCTTCACCTCCCCCACCCCCTTCACCTCCTCCCCACCTCCTTTAACCCTCCCCACCCCCACCTCCCCCATTCCCCCCCACCCTCCCTCCACCTCCCCACCCCCCTTCCCCTCCCCCCACTCCCACCCCTTACTCCCCCCCCTCCACCTCCCCCACCCATTAACCCCCCCCCAAATTCCCCCCCCCCCTCCTTTAACTCCCCCCCTTTCCCCCACTTCCCACCTCCACCTCCCCCACCCACACTCCCCAACCCCACTCCCCCCCCCCTCACTTCCCCCCACTCCCCCCCAACCCTCACTTCCCCCCACCCTCCACTCCCCCCCACCTCCCCACTCCCACCCCACCTCCTCCACCCCACACCCTCCACCTCCTCCCCCCCAACTCCCATACCTCCCACTTCCCCCCCTTACTTCTCCACCACTTCCCCATTATTTTCTCCCCCCATTTCCCCTTACTTCTCTCCCACCCCCACCATCCCCCACCTCCCCCACCTCATCCCCACTCCCCCCCCACCCCCCCCCACCCCTTCCACCCAAACCAGCCCCTCGCCACCCGCCCGCCCCCCATCCGCTCCCTTTACCCCAACAACCGCCCCCCACTATAAACACAGCACTATCTTCACTATATAACACAGCACTATCTTCACTATATAAACACAGCACTATCTTCACTAATAACACAGCACTATCTTCACTACATAACACAGCACTATCTTCATACATAACACAGCACTATCTTCACTAAAATAACACAAACACTATCTTCACTACATGGCACATCACTATCTTCCCCTATATAACACAGCACTATCTTCACTACATAACACAGCCTATCTTCACTACATAAAAACAGCACTATCTTCCCCTACATGGCACATCACTATCTTCACTATATAAAAACAGCTATCTTCACTATATAAAACAGCACTATCTTCACTACATAACACAGCACTATCTTCACTACATTTAAAACCCGCACTATCTTTACTACATAACACAGCACTATCTTCACTACATAAACAAGCACTATCTTTACTACATAACACATCACTATCTTCACTACATAACACAGCACTATCTTCACTATAACACAGCACTATCTTCATTATAATGGAACACTATTTTTGCTAAAAAAACACTTATCTTCTGTATAACACAGCACTATCTATGGTATAACAGCACTATCTTCAGTATATAACACAGCACTATCTTCATTATATAACACCGCACTATCTTCACCCTATCTTCACTACATAACACAGCACTATCTTCACTATATAACACAGCATTATCTTC